TCTGGGAGGTTCCCAAAACAAAAGCCTTTTTTTTTTTTTTTTTTTAAACGTGTATTTAAAGGCAACACACTTTGCCTCTTTAAAGAGATTCAAAATCACTAAATGAAGGCAGCCGAGCCAGACAGCGCTGCATAGTGCAAGAAATCTCCCCGAATGAAGACTTTTTGGGACTTTACGTTAGGAAAGTGAGTGTATTGCAAAGGCCCTGGTCAGGAAGGACTCACTACAGAATGGAAAAAAAAAATCAAAACCCAAAAAAATGAAAAATATCCCTTTCAGAAACTCTTAACTATGGAAACACCATTAATTACTTTGCATCAAATTAATACTCCCCTGCATCTAGAAAGTTACTACTTCGCCTGCCTCACTTTAACCTGCAAGCTGCTTTCCAACAAATGCGCACAGACCTGAGGAGAGCTGAGGCTCTCAGCTGCCCTCAGCATCCGAAGCGGAGCCGCTTGGCTGGAGTCACGTCCCGCCGCCGCGGGCTCGGGGACAGGCAGCCGGCTGTGGGACAGCGCGGCCTCGCACAGCGAGCTCCCCGCATCTATGCGCGCCTGCTTAGGGGGGTCTTAAGCGACGGTGTCCCAGCATTTTAGGACTGCAGGGAATCTGGCGGGGGGAGCGGGACGTGCGCGACTCCCATTCCGAGGTAAGAGCGCTTTCCCCTCCCGGCGGATACGAGAGAGGTTCCCCCGCCAGGGGATGTGCCCCGGCCGGCAGGGTGGGGGTCGGGCTTGGCCCCGCTCGGCCCTTTCCCCCCGGGCTCCCCCTCGGGACGGCCGCTCTCCCGCAGCCCCTGGATGCAGAGCTGAAGCGAGAAGTCTGAAAGGGGCTCGGGAGTAATGTCGTGCATTTACCTGCACGGGGGACCCGCGCTCAGCAGCAACCAACCCCTTCCCCACCCCCGCCCCGGTAGTGCAGGGATTGCGGTATTTCCCTTTGGGCAGGCTCAGCCCTGGGTCTGGCGAGAGCACAGGAGGAAGGAGAGCCGTGGACTACCGTCCTATTTCATTGTTTTTTCTCGGTGCTAGGGAATACATTGTGTATACACCTACACCTACACCTACACCTACACCTACACCTACACCTACACATACATATACATATACATATATACATATACAATTCGGCCATCCATCGCTCTCTCAATTACACAGTGCCGTGTACGACGCCCGTGGCACTGCAGTGAAGGACTGTCAGAAGACTTCCTAGTCTGAAGGAAATGGCTTTTCAACGAAGTTCTCTAACGTTACTGGTGAATTCTGATGCTACATCTCCTGGAGGACCTGCAGTGCAGGAGAGAGCCACGGTTCTCCTAGGAAGGGGTTAACTCTCGCCTGCGGGGCTGCTCGGGCTGGGCGCTAATGTCCCCATAACGCCTTCCCTGCAGAAACCAAATGTATGGGAAACAGTGGGACACGTTTGACACGAGTGCTAGGTACTTCTGTAATACGTCTTCCAAACAGACAATATGTGGACCCAAATGATATCTGAATAACACCTAAATAACATTATTTTCATGAAGAAAGCATAAAAGTGATGCTTTTCTCAAACTGCTAACAGCATAATCTAGACCCAAGTCTCGTTACGCTTTATACTAATAAATTTACATACTCCTTTAATATAAAGATAAATAAATGAGACTAATATCACAGACTTGTTGCATATTCCTTTGTAAAATAAAATGTCAATGGTTTGATTACATGAGTTTCCAACTCAATCTGGTTTCTGTGTCCTTTGGTTTGAGAATGAATTGTGTAGACCATGAAGCAGTACAGTAGCTGAGACCAGCTAGAACCCCC